TGATAAAACAAGGGAATACACAATGTGACTTTATATTTTATGTCTCGATGCTGAAAGCCGATGTTTGATTCTTTTTCTTGCATATTACATATCAATTATTTTCAGAGCAGAAATTACAAAAAAGGATATTCTCATTACGCACTTTTTCTTATAGTAGCGTTTGAACTTACAACTTCTTTCATAACGGTTAAGTGACGTCATCCTAAGTACGCAATTAATTCATAAAAGGCTCTCGTTTCAATGACGCCATTTAAAACACGCAACTTCTAGGGGTGCACCGATAGAGTGTGTAAACGTTAGATAATCCTGTTTGATATGCAAGACAAATATCTCTATGCTCATGAATAAAAGGAAGAACTGCACTTGGATTAATTAATGAGCTTCTAAACGAGGTTAACACACAATTGTACCAGAAAGTCTTACATTTCTCACGGCCCCGTCCGACTACTACCTGCGCATGCGCAGAACGTAAAGTCTTACGTTTCTCACGGGTCTGACAAAATTCACGCCACACTGGCAGCCAGTGTAAGATTCTTATAATAAACACGATGAATCACCGATTTAGTATTACTTAATCTAGAGGTTTTACTATGGAGCAGAATTTGGGTATTAATTTATTTGACTAGAGTACTCTACTTGTTGTTTTCATTCGCTTAAGTTAGAATTGTTGTTATAGAGATTTATCCATATTCTAACTTTATGAAAGTATTAACATTAAACAGCCTTAAGCGAAATAACACTGACTCATTTCAATAAGAAGAACAGCAGAACAAATAAAAACTAGAAACCACGTGATTAATATTTGCTTTTTGTGTCCTAGCTGGGTACAAGACCTAAAATTCTAGCACAAAATCTTAAAGACGGGAGATAACTCATGTATCGCTTCGGTATTTTCCGTGAGCGCAAGGTGTGAGGATACAATGCTACGCGGCGATTTAATCCAAGTTTATAGGTAGCACACCACAGTAATGTAAGCCACAGCTTCGAATAGCCAGGGAGGATTTCTTGGATATAGTTAACCTTTTACCCGATGAGCATATTGTGAACAAAAGCTGTCGGTAGGACAGCAACGCTCGACTATTCTTAGTGCTTGATAATGTAAAATTTTCTAAGTTAACAAAAGGGCAAATGTTTTCCATGTTTAAATCCATGTTTAAATCCATGTAACAGTAATAAGCCTTGAAGAGAGTCCTATTATGCTCTCAAAGAAGAGTATAAAATTTCAACTTGTTTCAAAGCCAGATGTCAATAGAATATGAACATATCTGAGTTGGTATGCAAACTAAAAAGTAAATTATAAGTGAAAAAAAGGACATTATTCTGCCATATGTTGATACAGTTACCTCCTCCTGTCAATATTTAAGGTATTACAAACACTTTAACGTAAATTCTAAGTCGAAAAAGGGGCATAATTCTGTCAAAAAGCTTGATAAAGTTACCTTCTCCTGTCTACAGGTTGGGGTCATGATGGTGAACAAGTGTGCAAAGTTTTAAAGCCATATGTCAATGGACTTTGAAAATGTTTGAGGTATTACAAAAACTTTAACGTAAATTCTAAGTCTGCAGGTTGGGGTCATGATGGTGTACAAGTGTGCAAATATTTGAGGTATTACAAAAACTTTAACATAAGTGGCTACGCCGACGCCGACGTAAACGCCGACGCTCGGGTGACTACAATAGCTCTACTTATTCTTATCAAATAGTCAAGCTAAAAATGACCGTTTTCATTGAAAAGCCTCCTGTTACAAGTTCAAACTGCTATGAAACTATGAAAATTTGCTTCAATACTGATGAAACTTGGCACAAATGTTGACTGAACCATAGCCTCTGTAACAGCCTGCTCAATCGTTAATTTTCTGTTACCATGGCAGAGGAGGGACGTCTCAAAATTGCGAAAAATCACTTTTTTGCATTGTTTTTTTCCATTAAAACTAATTTCAAAGTTCTGCAACTTCTCAATGAATTAAAATAGAGTAAAAGGCTTTTCGGCGTCGGTTACTAGTTACCCTGAGATCGACCTGAGGCCATTTTAGCCTGTCACATGTCCAAAATTTTCTTGGCATTTTTTTCACTGTTTGAGGTCTCAAAAAAAAGGGGGGGGGGCAAAAAGCCGTCAAAACACGTCTACATAAGGGAAAAGGTTAAATGACTGGTTGTCTTTAAAGTGCATTTCCAGCATGAAATTTGTTTTTGTGACATCTAATATGATCACTGGCAAATTCAAAAACATGGCCAGAAATGACATGCTGTTGATTATCAATGTCAAGGCCGCCATTTTTTGTAAACATTGCTTTTAAACAGCATGCACAGTAAAAACAAGTCATTTTACAGGGGGGTACAAACTTTTAGCAGTAGCAAAAAATCAACAAGGTTGAGCACCAGTTTCTTTGTGATATTTTGCATGTATAGGGAGTTGCTAAAGCAGAGACGGTGTTTTTTTAGCTTGTATATTTGCAGGTATTTTTTTTTTGCCAGAGGGACGGAATGTGTTGTTTGGGGTCTCGGGCCACTGTAGATTTTGGGCTTCAACGGAGTGAATTGCAACTGTTTTGACTGCCTGCCTATTGCAGATCATGAGATGGGATGATTTCTTTGTTGATTTCCATATATATTCTCAACAAAATGTGTTTTCTTTTTCCAGATTGTGTGGTTTGGTATCAGAATTATTAGACGTATTGCTTGTAGGAAATTGACGGCAGAAACTTGAAATTAACTGTACAATCAAATATTAGACAAAATGACGTGCCCGCTCTATAAATCCTATACTAATGGAAGAATTTCTTCAAACTTGACTAAAATGTTAACTTCAACAATTGACTTAGAAAATGTTCTTAAATTTTAACATTTACTTGAATATTTCTGAAACTAGCACAGGTATTTGCTTGAAACTTAAAAGATATATGAAGTGTCACAAGTAAGATATGCAGGTCAAGTTTCTTAACTCTGTATTGCATTTTGATAAAGTTATGGCCCTGTTTAAGTCTTTAAATTTGCATACAATCAGTACTAGACAATATGACGTGTCCGCTCTATAAATTCTATACTAATGGAAGGATTTTCTTCAAACTTGATTCAAATGTTAACCCCAACTTGGCAATGTGCAGAACTTATCTTATCCTTGTGCCAGCTTAAGGTCAATGCCACAGTTAAAGGTCAAAAATTGACTTAGAAAATGTTCTGAAATTTTAACATGTACTTGAATTTTTCTAAAACTAGAACAGGTAATCAATTGAAACATCAAAAATATACGAAGTGTCGCAAGTAAGATATGCAGGTCAAATTTCATAACTAGAACAAGTGGGGAGAACTTTGTATTGTATTTTGACAAAGTTAAGTCCATTTTTTGATTTAAATTTATTTACTATAATATTTCTTAAACCAGAACAGATATTTACTTGAATGGTTACAAGCAAGCTTAGATGACGAAAATTCTACATTTCCATTGAATTATGAAACAAGCCATGCCCCTTTTAGGCTTAGAAAATGGTCTGGTATAACTATTAATACTTAAATGTTTCTGAAACTAGAACAGATATTCACTTAAAACTATATAATATATGAAGTGTCACAAGTAAGCTCAGTATGCAAAGTTTTTCCACTCTTAATTACATTTTGATATAAGTATGATATTTTTTTTAACTTCACTGCTTTTATTTGTTTAAGTACATTTGAAAAATGAAAAGTTATTTGTAACTGTTTCGAACATTATTTGACAATATACATGTATATATTTAAACTATTACCTGAACAACTTGTCTCATTTTACCACAGATATTTTCTTTTTATGTATATGTTTTCGTGCCAATTTTAACGATTAATATCTAAACAAAATAATAATAAAAAAGACGCAATCATTTCCTCATTTAATGTAATAACTATGCATTTTATGTATTTTACTATTATGTCAAGAACATATAAACCACTCAATTGTGCTTAAATGACATAATTTAAATAAGAATTTTAACTTAATGTTGACAACGGATGACACTTTCTAAAAACGCACATAATTGGAAATATTTTACATTGTGCAGTGGATGACAAAAACTGTTATACAACACAACAAATAACATGTAAACGAAATAATTTCTAACACGACCCAAATATACTTCAATTTAATGTAATGTTTGCGTATTTTATGTATTTTTATGACTGAACAAAAATATGAGCACAAAAAAACACTACCAAATTGTTCTTAAAGACGTCTTCGGTATTTTTTGTGTGCGCATCGTTATGCGCGTCCAAGAAAGATAATCACGGATAATTACTCTTCAAAAAAGGTCAAGTTGAATAGTACTCGGATAACTGTTTAAATTTCGGCTATAAGCAAATATTGAGTAAATAATACAGAATAATTATTTCTTAATGTTTAGGAGGAGATCGGTTCAAAAGAATAAGAGGTCGTTAAGACAAATTCATATAAAGGACTTTTCCTAGCATTAGTACGTTAGCATTGATGATGATTCTGCGCGCGTTACCCCACCCACTTGTAATATAGAGACGAAAGTTCATGGGAACTTCATTACTGGCAGACAAGTGGGCAAAGAAGTTTAAAATGATATATTTAAAAATGATGAATAAATAACAAAAATAATATCAATGAAATGTTCCAATTTTCATTATTTTCTTTGTAAATTTCTGAATACTTGCTTACTGTTCGGGTATGTTAGTCGAGTAAAGAAATAATTTGGCCTTATATAACCGCCCAATATAACTTGTTTTAAAAACATATTCAGTATCATTTACTATATAAAACATCAAAAGAAATATTACTTTATATAACAACGTTTTTGTTGTATATATAACAATGCATTTAGTATATCACTAATATTTCTCAAGAAAGCGTGGTAATTTTGACTATTAGCATATGCTCCAGTGCGGTAACCATGGAAACTGCCCGTTATAACTTGTAAACAGAACCCTTAGATAAAGCAAGTTTTGTATAAAACTATACTTATTGTGTGTGTAATTAGCTGTCTTATACATACATTTTTATAACACAGTTTGGCTATTTTGACAATTTTGAAATATACGGTTACCATGGAAACTGCCAGTTTTCAAAAAATCCAACACGCCAACATATATTTTTCTTTGTATTTTTGAATTCGTTATTAAATTTTACACAACATACAAAAAATTTAGAAATCTTATGAAAGAAATGTTTCAATATCTTTAATTATTCACAGAATTCGTGTTTATTTTTCTAATTTTTTGTTCATTTAACGAAGCATGGGAAACTCATTTTTAAAGAAATATGTTCAGATTATCATTTGTTTTATTCAGAATCATTGGATTAGGTTATCTTTGCATAAAACAATGCTTGTTCTGTGTATTAAGCTATCTTATACATTTTCTATTTGTTATTACACAGTTTGGCTATTTTGACAGTTTTTAGATAAACGGTTACCATGGAAACTGCCATTTTACAAGAAATCCAACACGTCAACATATAGTTTTCTTTTTATTTTTGAATTCACCATTAAATTTTACTGATCATACTTAAAAAATAAGAAAATTCTATGAAAGGGTTAAATTTTCATAAAACTGCAGAAAATGTCTTTAAATTGCATGATACAGATACCGACGAGCAGACGTGCGATAAGGTAATTAAATACCTCCCTCATGGGACATTGAAGCTGTAACTGAAATCGTAGCTGTTCCTGTCCAAGATGGAAGACCAGATGCTAGAAAATAATCCACTGTACAATAGTAAATGCCTGCATTTTCAATAGTAACAGACTTCAATTTAATTTTTCCGTTTGAGACATGCTGTACGTTGAAGTTATTGTTCTTGACTGCAGCAGAAGTTCCAAATGTTGACATGATTGTTGTTGGTGTAGCTAATAATAGAGGTTTAAATGTCCAGGTGACAAAATACATGTCTGCTTCATTGTCATATGTCCATGGAATTGTGAAATCACTCCCGACTGATGCTGTATATGCCTCATCTAATGGAGAAATGGCAGCATCTAAAATGATTCGAGATATCAACAAATAAAGATTATTTTCATCTTAATATAGATTACAATATCTATGTCTTTGTGTTTTCTACTATACTTCTACAACACTTTGAACATATAAATAAGTAATACGATGCTATGTATATTTATGATGCCAGTAATATCATACCTGTAATTCCAAAAGTATGTGGAAAATGAATCATGGAAAGAACAAGACAATGTTATATATCATAGTCTAACGAAACAATTTGGAATATAATTGCAAGCTACCATCCACGCCCTCTAGCATCGGCTTACTAAAAGGCAGAATTCAACATTCAATTATAACTGGTAAAGTTTAGACAATGAAAAAGAAGGCAACATATCCTAAGGGTTATTAATCAGTTTTTTAAGTGAGCTGAACTGGAACCATCCGATGAAAAACAACATTTAATTGGAAAGAAATTTAAGTTCACAAAACATGCATTTACAACAATAATTTGCTGAACGATAGTCAAGAATCGAAAATATAGCATATAAAATATACAGGGATTCTTTAAACAGCCGCCATAGGGTACAAATAACACTGATGAGACAATGCAATACAGAAAACAGACACCCTAAAGAAATCCCAACGGTACTGGAAAGTGCATGCTACCTCTAAGCCACACAAGTACTACCTTTAGCAGAATTCAATATTTCCTATGAAATTGTTTGTTATTGAGAAACTTCCACAGATGTGTTCATACGGCGTTTATCATGGAACCTTAACCGACTAATGTTATTTATATTTCATTAAAAGCGCCACATGTATCCAAAATAAAATAACACATGCATCCTCTACGTGAAGACGGAACTGAATAAATAGTAATTTTTAACTAACAACTAAATACACAAAATAATGCCAAATAGACGATTTAAACGGATTGAAAAATACAAAAGTGATCTCCTACTTAAGAATTACACCAAATACTTAACCACCCATTCTAGTTATCAACCTGAGTTTGCAAAAAAAAATGATATCATGCAGAGGACTCACATTCTGTCCCACACCACTTAAAATTGATAAATTACAACTACACTGCGATATTCTATTATTTGACAGACCCATGAGACTTAAACATTTTTTTTATGAAAAACACCAACAGACCCATTCAAACCCTATTCAGGCTGGACGACTCCACAACCGGGGATATCTGCACATCTAGATGCATTTCGTACCATAATGCAACAGGATACACTCAAGACACAACGGGCACCGGAACAATGGGCAACCTGACTCAAGATGAATACAAGGCTATCACTACCCACAGAAACAACACAGAAATCATAATCAAATCTGCAGATAAAGGAGGCTCCGTCGTCATTCTCAATAAAGCTGATTACATCGCAGAAGCAAACAGACAACTGGGTGGCACAACAATGTATAAATCAATTACTACTGACCAACTAATAAAACATGTGAAGAAATTAACTCCTTCTTAAACTAAAAAAACACTCATTACTTGACCATAAACACATTGAATATCTCTCTGCTAAAAATTGCAGAACACCTATCTTTTATTTACTTCCAAAAATACATAAAACCAACAACCCTGGACGCCCCATAGTATCAGCATGCAACAGTCCAACAAAATACTATCTGAATACGTCGACTACTTTATATAACCTCTATCTAGAGACATACCTTCTTACATCAAAGACACAAATCATTTTCTAGAATGCATTAGGACAATAAAAAATGTACCCAAAGATGCTCTACTTGTTACTATTGACGTCACAACCTTATGCACAAATATTCCACACAGAGAAGTTATATAAGCAGTAAAACAAGCACTTGAAAAACGTTATCTCTAAGAACCAAAAATCTTGGATACTTTCACTCTTCTTACAATTTATACTAAAGAATACATGCTTTAAATTTAACGGAAATACTTACGAACAAATATCGGGAACCACCAAGTTTAACAATATTATTCATGCACGAATTTAAACAAACATTCCTAAAAACGACGTCTTTTTGATTGGCCACATTCTCGACTGTCAGAATAGATGCCTAAGGGAACTTATCCAACACATTATATAAACCTACTGATTCTTATATGTACCGCCATTACTCATCATTTCATCCGAAACATCAACCATATAGTCAAGCACTCAGAATTAGAAGGATATGCTGCACTGAAGAATCATTTCTGGAATGCAGCAAATTACTAACCGAAAATCTGCATGCACGTTGCTATCCAAAAGCACTTATACGAAAAGCTATCAAGAAGGCGAAAATCAACCATCTTAATGACACCAAACACCACTTTTCACACAAACTAATACCGTTAATCGTCACTCACAACCCAAGATTACCTAACATGATCAAAATCATTAACAAGTATGAACATTTAATGAAACCCGACTCTCACCTAGCAGATTTAACTAAGCATAGAATTTTAACAGTTTATCGTAAACCTGACAACCTTAGGAACATCTTAATGAGATCTTCCGATTCAAAAATGGTAACACAACCCTCACGTTCCAATGTACGCTACCGAAATTGTATAGCATGTTCGCTCTTAAAACCAAAACCATTAAAATTGAGTCAAAATTACCACAACTGGAGAAACGTTCAAAATTAAAGGATCTTATGATGTGTAGCAGCATCATTTACTTAATTGCATGCCTAAAATGCGGCATCCAAATTATAGGCAAGTCGGGTAACACAATTCGAGTGTATGAACATATTAATGATATACGTAATAAAATGATGTGATACCTGTCTCTTAACATGTTTCCGCCAACGGACAAAACATAAACGACGTCGACGTCACAGTTCTAACAACGACACCAAGGAACATAAACATCCGCCTTAGAACAGAAGAAACCTACATTGAATTATTTAAACGAAATCACCAAACGGACTTAACTTGCACCAAAAATGGAAATAACAGATAAGAAAAACTATTATAAGCAAGTACCAGCACCGGCGGATTCATTTAAACTTAATATAAAAAAATTTACGGCAATGTTTAAAAAGTAATAAATTCATCAAGGGCTCTAAATCAAACTTCAACAGACCAACAAAACACATGAGAAAACGATTACGATGTTTATATGCTTCCATTATGATCAAGAATATACAAGAAGAGACATTCCTAAAAGGCACTGCCGTAAAATACACGGCATGGAAATGCACAGATACAAAAAAAAAAACAGTAAAACCGTGGCAACCACCTTTTGAATGCACTTTAATCAAGAAACCAACAACCATAAAAAAATTCAGAATTGTTCAAGGACAAAAACAATGGCTAGCCAAAACGTTTACAATTGAATTAAATTGTACATAACTGATAAAGGTAATGACACTGGGAGAACCATTATCAACATTACCTCAGTCTCCATTTCGATCCAATGAAAACTCGCCGACACACAACATCTCAGAAAGTACCAGCGATGTAACAATATGCCAAGATGAAAAAGACGAGTTTGTCTACACAAAATACATGGACATAAAGATCTACTCGATCTATGGTGTTTTTAAATAAATAACAATGACTCCATATTAACTGTAACAATTTATTATTATTATTATGTTATAATTCCTCATATAAATAACTATATACGGACAAAAGAACCACCTAAAAATAACTTCTATAAAAAGATATGATCACTTGACAAAAACAACCGTCAAATTTATAAGTGGCATTTTCTGATATATCTGTACCCTGATGAAGGCTATTGCTATTGAATAGCCGAAATGTAGGTCATTAATAAAACTATAGAAGCCTGACCCGCTTTGTTTCGTGTGTTTCACTTTTCTTATTCTTTTTATTAGTAAATAGTATTTTGAAAGGAATCACAGGTAATGAATCCTTCATATCACAAATTTGTAAAAAGCCAAATTTAAAAAATCAATGTATTCTAGTCCTAATGGTTATACAGTATTCATGTAAAGAATACTGGAACAATCCAATTGCAGAATAAAAAGAAAATGAAGGAAAAATAGCTTTCTGATTGAATGTACGGTGTGACTTTTTATGGCATCTCTACGGCATTAACAACGCTTATATGGCGGTAAATAGAGAGAACCAGAGGAACATGACGGGCCTTATATCATTCACCTGATTATTTAGGCTCTGAATGACAATGAAAACAAACAAATGTAATGAATGAAAGGTACACCATGTTAAGTCTAAATTTTACACTCATATTAAACGTTCATGTCTACATATAAAAAGTGCAATTTTAAACAAGATTAATCAAAACTGTTTTGCCTGAAAGTAGTACATTTAGAGTGTTATCAAGGTATATTTAATGTTTTTGTTTTGTGACCTAGTTTTTAAACCAAGACGACCATTTTTCCAATTTTGAGCCATAAATCAGAAAAACAACTTTTGTAATTAATTTTCATAGCTCAATCGGTTAGAGTGCGAGACTTGTGATCTCGACATTGCGGGTTTGATTCCCGGGCTGGCCAGCTAAAATTAATACTCAGTCTTTCGGATGAGACTTTAAATCAAGGTCCCGTGTATGGTTGCTTAAACACTTGGCACGCTAAAGTAGCTTCTGGAATAGGGTCGCCTTTCTGTACCTGTAATTGCATTATCCTCCAAAATCTAAAATTACTAATACTCTTCTTGAGGCTCGCTCAAATGGGCAACCGGTGGCGAGTTTAAATAAACACAAATATACAGAATTAATTTCCAGGTCACTGGGTCTGACCATGTTTTAACAAGAGTTACAATGATCTAGACGTTTGATCTAGCTTTTGACCCCAAATGCCCCATATTCATATATAACTTGAGCTTGATAATATTTGGATTAAAACAGTGGCCTCTAGAATGCTAACAATATTTTCTATTTTTGTCCCAGCAATTATTTATACAATCATACTGACAACGTTGCGTGATAATTGAGACAAAATTGTTAACACCCTAATGTTAAAAAACAGAGTGTAAAGTACAAAAGGCAACAGATCCTACACAAATGAGCCATTCGGAACTGCTTCGGCTATTATCTATAATAACCTCGGAAACAATACGGATTTAAAGTAGTTCTACCACGTGGTTTCAGATGTAAACAGAAACAGAGATAATGTAAAACGAATGTATATATTTGACATTTAATGTCTGTTCCGGTACTCTTATGCTTGAAAATATGTATATTTAAATATTACTGATGTTCAATTTTAAACAAATCCGACTAAATGTCAGTTGGTTTTTTGAACTTTCGGTTTCTACAGCCATAATGATAAATATATAAATAATGCATTGTTTGCTTTTGTACCTATGAATTCACTTATTTTAGGTGGACATTTACTAAATATATTGGATATAAACTTGTCAACAACTCCCAGCATTAAATTACTATTTGTTAACATGTTTATTTTCTTAGCGTAGGTTAGACCGAAATACCGCATCTGTTCTGTGTATTCATACTATTGTGTTCGAGGTCCTTATCTGAAGACTGACGGAAAGGGCCGAGTAGTTGCGATTGACAAATGAGCTAAAAGAATAATCACAAATAATATAACCGAAGGTAGAAACAGTTGCATCATCGGTCTGTTCACGGACGGTACTTAATAAGGCAAACTTTTGTCAAGTCCTTATGCACAGTACAACACTTATAATGAAATTGTAAAAAAAAATAGAAAGAACCAAAAGTACAAGAGGACAAGTATGTTGTGCTGGACGATTCTATAAGATCAGAAATATAGCTGACTGAATGTACGGGTGACTTTGTAAAGCCTCCTGACGCACAAACAACGCTGGTGTGGCAATAAAATTGAAGAAACAAAAATATGAATTTTCAATAAGAATAGAATGACCGAAATGACAAATTTTTTCAAAACTCGGTTTTATTGAGCTTGTTTATAGACTATAATGTGTACATTACCGTCGACGCCTCTAGCACCGGCATCAGCAAAATTGTATATTTACTTTGAAATTGTAAAAGTTCAAGTTTTGTTTACACAACTGATTGATGATAACTACATCACTTTTATGAAAAAAATTAAGCAAATGCAATCGTAGACAACAAGATGATAGTGCCCATGTTTAAATGAATATTTTATGAATTCACATATCAAATGAGATATTTTAGCCGACAAAATATTTAATTATATTAAATCATGAATAGTTATTATGTTGATTCATATCTGGGAATTAATTGTGTTGTCTAATACGAAAAATTATTGTGAAATATTTATTAGGAACATTTTATTTTATCTATTTCAAAACAATGAACCATTTGGCAAACAATATTAATCTTGTAAATACGCCATTTACTTGTCATCTTAATAGCAAATACTTACTGCACTCCAAATAAATCCATGTTAAAACTTTGATGGTCCTTAGAAAATTTGTTCCAGCCATAATTGTTAACTTGGTATTGAAATGACAACTTTGCTTCGGAAAATGGCATGCACAAATGAATGTCGCTTTATCACCAATGAATCATACTTATCAATTTGAAAAATGTTTCGGTAGCCAAGCAGTTAGAGTAACTAGTATTCTATGGAAAACCACCTTTGTTTATACCGCATTTGGACAGCGTTTTGGTATTTAATTATGAAAACCTAATATATTCTTAATCATGCACCATTTCAAATGTTATAATTACAATAAAAAAATGACATTAGAATTGCAAGATGCGTTTGTGCACCGTAGAGTAAATTGTATGATCTCAGTTTATTTCGTAAGTTAGCTGTTTGCATAGTTATTTGAAGGGGTAACAAGTATAATAACTGTCTGGCACCAAAGATGCAAAATAGACATAATTCGCGTTCAAATGAATAGTAGGGCAATTACTTAAAACATAGGAACTACATGCTTAAAGTATGGGATATTTGGTCCTTACTAAGAAACCGCTTTTTATGCTGTCAAATGAATGAATGCTAACAATACCACCCAATGAGTTCATTTTGCCGATTACGAAAATATCGGCTAGGTTCAAAATTCCTGTTGTTTATGAAACAAAATGTCTTTGGGTTTCATTCAATGAACAGATTTAAGTAAATGCTTACAAGCTTGAAAGTTATTAAAGGTAAGGTTATGACAAGTACGGACTTGGAATCAAATTATCTAACTTAATTTAAAAAAAAGTATAGACGTCACATAATATCAAAATGATTTATGGTTTCTTAGATTACAGTTCGGCTAGAAAATTGTATTTACAAATGATCGGTACTATATATCACCAAATCCTTCGTTTAGAAGAAGGCATATTTAGTCATCGCAATAAGAAAGTATTTATGATGAAATAAGAGAGCGTCCTTTATCTACGTTGTAAAACTTTTTCTTCATTATGCGGCAAGAGTATCTCTCTAGAAAATAATTTTTAAAGCAAATTATAGCTAAATATTTTTCAATAAACCAACGGAAATTTAACCATTAGGGCTTCGTTAAAATAGTTAAGAAAACCTTAAAATATACCAAAATATAGTCTTCAAAATGTCAAAGAAGATTTTCTGTCGTAGACATGACATAAAAAGGCAAGTTTAGTAATTCAAAGACGAATATTATATTAAAAATTCACATTTACGGCTCAAAGGATTGTTGCAAAGTTAAAGCGGCCATTTTTTAAAATCATTTTTCATCTGAATTAATACGACATAATGCATCTAAATTTACTTTTAAATCGAAAGTAATTGATCTGGCATTGTTACGTATTTGAAGTTATAAATTTGTTGATTTTTTTCCAGATTTATTACATGTGTTATTAAACCGTTCGCTTTGTGTTAACACCTCTGAAAAGCTTTTAGTCGAGATAATCAAAGGATTATATTGCGAAAATACAAGTACAAATATCTTTATTTCTCTCAGGCCAAGGTATTGACAACGTAAGGCAAATAAATATCAGCAATGTTTCGAGACTCAATTGGGTACATTAAAAAAAATTGCATACACAATTCATGTAGAGGGAGAGAACCTTAAGTACTTTAAGCATACAAAACATGTGCATGAAATATATTTACACGTGTTATATGCATTCAATTTTCATTATATGAACTTGTCAACAATATCCTTAATATACAGCCATAATTTCTAATATTCAAATGTGATATGGTTGTTTAAATCCATAATTTTATCGAAGAATAAATGTTTCGTCTAATATGAACGCCGCGTGCACGCGGTGTCTAGTAGAAATGCATTCGTTCATTCAGCAATGGGGGAAATTTTAGACTTGATATTGTGTACTTTATTTTGATTTCACAAAATCACACTGTTTTAAGAATGTACAACATGTCACAGAGTTTTAAGCAATTAAAATTAAAATAAACGTTTATTTGAAGTGATAGTACCATGTTTGAATATCATATTCTTTTTATCATTTTCTAATTTCTTTATTATCTAACTAATAAATAACGTGCCAATGAGCCAGTCCATAGTCGATTGTTCTAAAACTTAACCGTTGAGAGAGGTAACGACTCAGGCAGTGTCACTCACTCAATTTTCTCGCCTCTGTTGAAGCACAACACCGCCTTAAATTGTCGCCAAATTTAATATGATACTCTATATGCTAGCATTTAGTCTTCGTTGGCCGAGGGAAGGGACCAGGACAACTATGACCAATATCACTTGACGAATACTTAAATTACAATCAACAAAACCTTAACCACGCCCACTATCAGAGAGGTGGTTCTACCTCAACACAAACCCTTCTATGCTGCCTTCGATTGCTAACGCGGGTTAAACACTTTCGACACGGGTAACAATCGAACAAGGTAGAGTTGAGTATTACGTCATCAGTTTTGCGTACCTGAGTTACGCGGGTTGGACACTGCCTATCAGCTGGGTCATAAGTGTTAAAATGGCGGCCAACAACGTTGAAAAGGAGTAATAGAGAGGATTTTTATAGTTTTTCTGCTTTTGTTTGTTAATAGAATCTAATATAGCCTTTGAATTTATCTTTACTTTATTTATTTATATAAAAGTTAAAGTAATTCAAGCATTATTTCCTCCGCCCAAAGGTGCAAATAATTCCCTGGGCGCAGCCATATTTGTTTACAACCCGATCAACTCGTGCTTGTTCGATTGCTATTAAAGGTACGCATGCGCATATGAGCTTTTCCGGTATCGACACTACTTACACGGGTTAGGCAATCGAAGGCAGTTCAATAGTCTAATCAGGGAACAAGGGTATGGCTAAAATACGCACCGGAGATTGTGTGGCGCTACGAGATTTTTTCTGTTTGCAAAACAAGCAAAACGTGTGCTACATGTAATTCATTAAAATAATTAACATTTAAGTTATAAAACATATTAACTTAGTGAAAAAAGTACGTTTATTTTAAAGTGTATCACAAATATTTGCAAAAATGGTAAGTGGTTCGGATATTCAACTGTAATAGCAAAAGATTTTTAATTCTGATTTTACATTACCTGTGACTGTTTACATTATTTGACGGCGTCTTTGATGTGCAGCACAAACATTTAACTTGTATAATAAATAATTGGATTGTAGGTATTTTTTCCTTGGTGATCAAAATATTTACATTCAAGAAGGTAGTAAAATGGTAAAATATTTGAGTTAAGGAGAATGATAATTCAAGTTTGATAATATTTATCTACTAAATACGAAGAAAAATTTAAAGTGTCAAACATAAACAAGAGGAGTGAAATGTAGGTTGTCAAATGAAAATTCTCTTCTGCACTTTTATATACTGCATAGAATTTAAGTAAAAAGATAGAAAGAAGTGAAAGTCTGCAGAGTGAGTAAAAGTACATCACAAAAAGTCTCAGATCAAAGGGGGAGGCAATTCTTAAAATAATGGAAAGTGACAGAATCATGTCACTATTTAGACGTATAAGCAACGAAAATGCCGTCCGAAACAAAAACGGAACAATAAAAACACAGGCAATTCTTAAATAAGACTTTAAGTCAATAAAAGATTATTTTTGGTAATAGTTTTAATTAGTTATTATCAAGTTATTGAACATTTTGTAGTGTGCATAAGTTGTAGAAATAGCTACCTACATTTACGGTTGGGCTTTAAATCGTATAACCTTTTTCACCGACACAAAATCAGTTACTGCCAATTCATCAACTTTTTCACGACTGAAGCCAAATTTTTATGATTTTGAGGAAATACGTGTAGGTCAGAGCCCAACATGATTCACACAAAATTTGAAATTATAAATAGTAAATTACTCTACTATATTTAATATCATACTCATTCTGACGTGTGTTTACAACCTAAAATCCGTCATATTTCTCAATTTCACCTCGCTTAAAGGGAGACACAGGCAAATTTTCAATTCTTTGTTTTAATTTTTTCATTCATTAATCTGTAAATATAATCAAAATGAGTACACTAGGCAGTCATAGGAACAAAACTTTACTCCTTAATATAAAGAATAAAATGGTGGTTTCCTAACTTGTCCCACGTGTGTCAGGTAAGAGAGTTAAGATTTCACAATAGTTGCCACAGTGAACTCTGGACACGTTTAAGGACATGTCAATCTTGTTTCAATCATTCAATATTCACGATATCTGTTATTGTAACATCACATGGCTTGTTTCAAACTACTCAGCCATTTTGTCGGCGTCTAAGTTTCCTTCACTATATTTAGATATATTTACGCTTGATATACAGAAATCCATGACGGGACTTTAAAAAAGTCATTTTAGCGTGACTTGAGTAATTTAATCATTTTAATATTTATGTCATTGATTTGCCTTAGTATCCCTTTAAAAAAGTATTGAACCTCTCTTTACGTCCAACTCGATTTTACAAGAGTTCTTTACTGGGAAGTGACTTAGGTGATAAAACTAAAATGTCATAATGCCTGTGTTATTTTATCTGATATATTTAGAATAGAGAAAATATGAATTATTAAAGAAAGTCCATCACGGCAAAATTGAAAATGTTGCGACTCGGTTTGATTAAGTCTGTTCATGGACGGTAATGTCAAGTGCAAACTACCGCTCACACCCCCTAGCACCACTTTAAGCAGAATTCAACATTTAACATGTATTGGTACGTTTTTGAATTTTGAATCATCCGTAGATGTGTTTCATATGGCGGTTATCATGAAACTTTTAATGTGACACTTAAGTGCCACTCCATGAAAAGCGGCATATGGTCCCAAAGTTAAAAATATACATGTGCCCTAAACGAGAAAACAATTGGCGGAACTAAATAAAATGGAAAAGAGATCAGTGGTTATGAAAATTGCATATCACAGATAAGAGAGCGCCAAAAGACAAATTTAAAAAGCAGGTCACATATCCTAAGGGTGATTCAACAGTATTAAAGTCAGGAACTGTGGAACCACCCAAAAAGAAAATAGCCAATTAGAAATAACTAAATTACCACAAACACAGCAATAATACCGTGCTGAACGATCTTTAAGCATCAGACATAATTACAACATCTCTGCTTTTCACAGCCTCCACACTTCAAAAATAACTTTGATGAGAATATAAAATA